TAGTATCAAGTTTGTGATTTTAATATTATCCCATCGAAGTGTGACATTTTCTAGAGAGAGAATCGCCTATATTAAGTTCAAAACATACATCACCCTTCTTCAGATTTAGAATTAAGCACTACAATAATAGCACCGATTATGGCAACAACAACTCCGAATAAATCTTGGGTGCGAAACCTTTCCTTCAACATTATAGGAGCCAATATTACATTGGAAATTAGAGCAACAGTTCCCAATGGTGCAACCACCGATGCAGGTGCAAATCCATAAGCTATAAAATTTCCTGATTCGCCTAAAATTAATAATATATATGTATAAGTGTACATGCGCGTGTGTATATACTCAAATATATATAACCACATTATCATTCTGCATATCCACCCACACGTATCCATCCATTCACACGCAATCTATATATTATCAAAATAAAAAAATCTACCTATAACCATCAGTAATATTCCGGCCCACCAAGCTTTGGAAAAAAGATAATGAGATTTGTTATCACAATCATCGAATTCAGTCAACATTACATAACTATCATCACTTTCACTTGATCGTAGAATATGCGTCGGTAGATCGGAATCGTATAAAGAGGTGGGACGTTGTGGATTAGATCCGCTACGAGTATCACTAAATGCTACCGAATCACAACTAATTCTCTGAAGTTCATTGTGTGCGTGTTTTTGTAAATTTAATGCAATAGATATCAAAATCTAAGTTATATAATTAATAAAAAATTCTATTAACATTGTTTTGTTGAATATAGATAATAATAGAATAAATAAAATATCTTATTAAGCTTACGTTTCCAGTGACAGCAAAAATTACACCTATAAAGGATTGGACCTCAGGTAACTTGTCAATTGGAGGCCACATTTCTACTTATCTATATGTTTAATTAAATAACTGAATATAACATATTAAGAGAAACAAAAAGGTCAATGTTACTTTCAACGATTCTTAACATTGAGATATTAGTGCACCTGCAGTGTACACTATGCACATTTGTCAGCTAAAAAAACGGTGTTGAAGAGAGCTCACAAAATTTATGTAAAGCAATGATGACAACAATGATTGTTTTGCTAAAAATGACTATTGAAAGTTTAGTAGACATCCTTATACAAAATAGACAAATGACAAAGCAAAACATACTTAAGATAACTGTTGTTTGAGTCATTTCTTCAAGAGACAGCAAGCAATAATGTAGATAAGATAGTAAATACTTTAAAAACATTATATGTATAGTTGTACAATTATCAAATGAGTTTAAATAGTTGCTTATATTATGGATAAAGTTTCATCAAA